CTTATCATAATTATAATGTATAACTTTCTTAATAATAAACTTAATTTGATTCACTATCTCCTCTTATAACTGTAAGAAGAGACCTGTTAAAGATCTTCTGCTATATAAATACTGTTAAAAGAACTGGAATAACAATATAATTTTGATAATTATATGTCCTTTTATATTTTTCTATTTATACTTTTATTTTTAATTATTTAATTTATCTAATTTACATATAATTTATCAAAAACACCAATTAATTCTTTTTAAATCATATTATTTATTTTATTATAACATTATTGGATCTAAATTTATTCTATTTTAAATTAATTTCATTTAATATTAATTCATATAGTACTAATATCATTCTAATTTAAATTGTATTGCTTAGATTAAATTAGTATTACACTTATCATTTCTTGGCATTACACTTCTTCCAAATTAATCTTATAATTGTTTTTAAGTAATGTCATTCATTATGTAGATCTATATTATATTTACATATATTTAAACAGATGTAATTTAACATAAAATAATAAGCATTTTAGTAGTAATTTTAAAAGTAATAAAAATATATAAGTTAATTAATACTTCTAAATAATTTTTACTTATTACTAGCAATATAATTATAGTAAATATAGCAATATAATACTAGCAAAACAAATAATTAGATCTTAAAAATAACAATAATATTATAGCTAAAGTAATATTTGTAAAACTATTATAATATATATAAGTAATATATCTTAGTTAGTAATTTAGATAGATTTTATAGTTCTCAGAATTTCAAGAGTAATAAATAACAATTAAAAATATGTAATAAATTAATAATAAATTTATTTAATAATAAAATTATATTTTATTATTATTAAATTATGATCTTATAATAAAATTACATATTTAACATTCTTATTAAAAATTCCAGATCTAATTCTAGCTGATTTATTAAAAATTCCAGATTTCATTCTAGCTGATTATGTCATAAACACATTGTTACCTTTCTTTAAATTCATTATAATCATAATTTAATGCTTGATGTATTATATAGATTTGATTTGATTATATTATACTTTCCATTCATAATTCTTAATGAATTTTACTATAATTACTCTGATCAAGTAACTTATTATAATATTATTAAGCACTCTCCAGCTTTTCCAAGAACTCATAAAATAAGGTAATAATATTACTTATGAAAATAATGTTAAAAGTTAAAAAGAATCTTATTTTATTACTAAACATTCTAAGATTGCAAGATACTTGTAACCAAAGGTATTTTTTAACATTTATTTATTGTAATTTTAGAAATAGATTAGTTGTTTATTAATTATTTCAACATTTATAGTCAGACATCTTTGTATATGTTGTGTTCCAAATTACAATCTGCCCCAATTGACAATTGGGATATATCCCAAATCAAAATCTAAACCAAATATAGCCTATTCCTCAGCACTAATCCTAACCCTTACCCTAACTCTGGTCATATTCCTATTCTAATTTGGGCCGATTGTGATTTGGGACAATTGTGATTTGGGGCACAACATATACATGGAAAAACACGCAATTATCTACTGAAGCTGCTTCCGCATACGGAATGCAAGGCGATATCGGATTCGCGATTTGACTAATTACAAGCTTTTGAGCTTGAATTGCTTCTTTTATAGTCATTGTAAAGAATATAAAGGCCATGCGTCATTTAAATACGCTTTCGACGTAGACCGCAAAAATTCGAAAGATTCGTGGCATAGTTCACGGCTATGTACGCGCCCACAAACATTTCTACAATGGGAACAGGCGCAGCAACCAATGGGGAGAAAATCGACCACAAGTAAATGGTGGTGAAGGTGAGAAAATGGGGAATAATGGCGGCAAATTACAGAAATAATTAATATATTTCGTAAGTTTCCTGCCTAGAATACCCTAACTATTGCTTCTTGTGGATATATCTCTCCACCTTTTTCTCCAATTTTTTTCCTTTCTTTTTGTGATTGCTACTGTCTTTATCGGATATTAATTCTGTTTCTCTTTCCATTTTTGTATTCGGTTATTAATAATAAATGTAATGGCGACAAAGAAAGTCAAAATGATAATCATTGACGTTATATAGACAAAGGCAAAAAGAATTTATCGCCGATTCTGTGGGATAAAGGTAGTTTGCACTGGTGACCGACAAATTATATTAGTGGCCGGAAATCCGCAAATGAATGTGTGCTTTGAGAATTACAAGTTGATCTATCGGTGGTACTCAATGTCATAATGTTCGTGCATGACCATATGACTGAGTGAATTTCGCGCGTATATGATCCAAATTCGCAATTAATTAATAATTCTCAATTTCATACAATGCAATTGATTAATAATTCTGAATTCATACAATGTAATTAATCGATTTCAATTTTGCAGTTGACGCTATGTTATTCTCTATTTCTTTCGGTTTGTGCGTGAAAAATCATGTATTTAATCGACACAACATTATGAATTTGAAAAGAGCAAAACTTTCATTTCACCTTAATTGAAAATACGTCTCTATATTCCCTTCTTTATTTCCAAATGAAGCAAAGAAAACATAACAGACTTTGTAATGCTAGCACTCATGTTCAAATCGGGTTATTCAGCTACTAGAGGTTTTGATGATGGAAAATCACTCGATAATTTATGCACATGTCTCATGGTCTAAGCGATTGATTGAATGGTAATAAATGCATTTTTTTCTAATTAAACAAATAACCCATAATGATATTATTAATTCCTTCAATACGTCATGACACTGCTTATTTGTTTCTGCATAATAGCATAATCATTCGTTCGATATGATCATTTATCTTGGACGGGTGGCATATAATCTGGCTTACAACAAGTTCGACGCCGCATCGCGTTCAACCCCAAATTCTATGATTGAAAACAATAGAATGATTAGAGTGGTCAGAATGATAAATGAGTCCGAGTGATTTTTGCTATTACATGTATATTAGCTTGTACGTATCATGCTTACAACATGTACTTCCATTAGATCTTTTGTTTATCTCTATGATATATATATATATAGTAAATGTGTGAGCCGAAGCCGAATTAGGAGCTCGTGACGGTGAAGATTTCACGTTAAGCTGAAGCCGAATTAGAGACCCGTGAAGCAAACGACCGAAAAAATAATTTGCGCTAACAAATTCGGGTAGCACACATAAATTATTTGAAACAAAAGCCGCAATTCACGCGTAGACGTTTGGCTTATAGCGTGCTCGGCACAGTTTGTGATCGGCCGTTTTACCATGTGGTCGTCACATAAAATTAACCTATTGGCAGATCATACTCTCGTTCGTCTGACAAAATACATGCACACGCATTTACTCAAACACAATTATTAATATTACGTAGCAATAAAAAATTTATAATTTACCAACTACCAACATGCTCATTTTTCTTACATATGGAGGATAACGCTGCTCATCATATACAGCAGCAGCACATATCCGATAATGGACAAATTCGGTTTAAAGAACACAGAGTTGGGGTTTTGAGAAGACGGAGATATAGTTTGAAGCCGAATTATGAGAACAACAATTTTTCATAGATGAATCCATAAAGCTATGGATTCACCCCAATTCTATAAGGGAGGAGGGTTTCATAATTTCTGACATGAGGCTTAAAACCGATCAACAGATGCTTTTGTTAGATCGAAATGGTAAATTGAATCAGCAGAATATAGTAATCAAATCAAAAAATTTGTTGCTAACATGCGAAAACCTAGAAAAATTTATTAGGTGTGCGACCCACTGGATTGTAGTATGGTTCTTTCTTGATTCGGTCCTTTTATTCAAAACAAAGAATTTTAATAATCTGTACGAATTAAATGTCGTTTCATCGCGTTTCAAAAAAATTTGGCGGGTTCTTGTCACTACTTTAGTCGTCAATGTCATCCCACTTTTCATTATACACCACAGCATGTACAGGATTACTATATAAAATTAGCAGTAATTTCTTCTTGCATACATGTTTTTCAATGCACAGGTTTTTCCGAAAAAGGAAAAAGAATTATTTCGCATAATGCCCAAATATTCCATCCGAAATGTTACTATATAGCGTTAATTTTCCACCAATAAATCGAACAGCCGCCATTTGTTTCGAAAGAACAAAAAAATTATTTTGTTGATATTAGCAAAATTTAGGAGTTAAGGGGTGGGTGAATGAGAATAAAGAAGAAAGAAGAAAGGGGAAATGGGTAGGAGGCGAAAAAAAAAGAAAAAGAATTCGCGAAACACAAAAGAAATCAAGAAATAGACCGATCACAATTATTATAGACACCACACACGATTGGGCGCGGCGCATTTTATCCATCATCACTACCCAAGAATGGAAATAATTATATTCAGCGTATAATATTAACAAATGGTAATGATAATAAGAATATTAATAACGAAAATGATATTGAATGAACCAATCGAATATTCATCTGTTAGTACAGTAGTAGACAGAACATAATTGCGGATTCACAAATATTCCGAAAGAGAATGGATGTAATACGCACTCGCAGCAATCAGCATCATAAACAAAATGTTTTGAGCATCTTAATCCGGAAATGGAAATGTGCGTTTGTTTGTGTACACGCAAGAAATCGACTTTCGGTGTCTAACGACGATCAAATCAATACCCGATTGTCCCAATCCCCTTTCCGTATTAGTATTCTATATGTTTAAATAGCTTATATTAAAAATAAAATAAATTATTTGTGTCTCATCGCTTTTTCACCGCTGTTCCAAAAAGCTTTTATTTATATAAAGGATGAACACGCAACGAAGGGGTTGGTTATTAGATCATCATCAATCTATTTAATACTAATATAATATAAATAGTTTATTATCACGACAAATCAATCTAACAAAGATAAAAATATAAAGGCTTCAGAATTTCCCCTAGGAAAAAAACAATTCAAAGAAATATATAAACTATTGCTTTTTTTAGTGTTTGGAAATTAATAAATCGAACCGAATAAAAAAAAATTGAAAAAATTATCAAAAAAGAAAATGGCTTCAATTTGTCAGAAAAGAATCACTTTACCTCCCTTTTCTTCTATTGCAAATGAAGCATTAGCAGCGTCTAGTCTAGCTACGAGAATCTCAAGAAAACCACCACCACAACCAGGACAATTCAAATTTATTTTGTATCAAGCAGAAGTACCAACGTCGTCATCATCTTTAACAGCTACATCTACAGCAATGCAGGGCAGAAATAAGAAAGTGGCTACTGAGATGAAGACGAGGACGAAATCAAAGATTTCTCCAAATACATCACCGAAAAATTCTAAAGTCAAGAAAAATTCACGAAAATCTCCGTTATCATCTTCTGCTTCTTCGTCGTCATCATCGAGAAAGTCAGCTTGTAAGATGCAACAATTTTTTCCAGCGGCTTTACAACGAACAGTCATACCAAACTCACATATGCAACCACCGAAAATTAGTCATAATCCCATAATTAATAACCAGAACGTTGCCAACAATACTTACATAAATCCACATTTTAAATATTCACGATCAATAATAGAAAGAAATAATTCTTTTTACCGACCAACTACCATAACAGAATACGTGGATCCCTTAAGAAATTATTGGCAATACACAAATTATAATCCAGAGACAATGAATGCTAATTGCGTGAATCAAGAAACTACGAAAACATTGCTTTACTCGCAGAGTTCAGCACTCTCAGAGTTTCAAAGATTACAAAATTTTGCACCTAGTCGAACTTCTTCTTTTTCTTCCTGTTCTTCTTGTTCTCGATCACAACCCCAATCGAATTCACCTAAACCCATCGAATTTCAACTTTTTGACGATTAAATTTTTTAGTTTATCACCTTTTTAGTATTATCAATGTTAATATTATTTTTATGTATTTATTCATTTATTTTTATTGTACAAAGACATTAGCGTTAGGGGTGGTTAACATTATATTATATTATATTATATTAAATTACTATTATTATTATTATTATTATGATTATTATATATCAAGACTTTTATTATCAATTAATATAAATTTTATGTGCAAAAAAGTTTTTTTTAATTCTCCGATGAAAATTTATTTAAGATGGCAAGGTAAGAAAGCATTTAAAGGTAAATAAAGTTAAATAATCTAAGTCTACAATCGAATCAAAATTTCAATTCCTTGTTAATTCAATGTTCTCTTGTTTCGTAAAAGAAACCTCATCACGATATGCATTGTTGATTTATGTGGGCGAAATTTCAAATGTGCAAAGAAATCAATTGTATTGTACGTATCGACAAATTAAATGCATATTAGTTAATGAAAAATTTATGCATTTAAATAAAGGGTAAAAATTTTTTTGAAGCATTAAATAATAAATAAAAAAGTATTCTTTAAATGAATAATAAAAACAAGAAAGGAATAATATACATGTATTAAAAAAACGCAGGAAATAAATAAGAACACAGGAAATAAATAATAATATTAACAAAACACACAAGAAACGAATAATATTTAAAAAAAAATGCAGGAAGCAAAAAATGTTCTCTTTATAAATTATAAATGCACAAATTACTACCATATTCAGCTTTCCGCCGACTTCTCTTGATACCGTAGTTCCTGTAAGATCGGGTTCCAGACCAGACTTTTATTTCGTGCAAGTATCATGCAATTTCGTTTTTGTTTCCGGTCCATCGGTTCTTTTTTCGTTGACAGGTCTCGTTGCTCTTCGAACAGTTTCAGTCGATGATTATGTTCTCGGAAGTTTGTTAGAGCTCGTCGTAAATTGTCGTTTCTTTTTTCCAGGCTTTCAATCTTCTAATCATAAGATTCAATTAGTTTAATTAAACACGAAATAAAACTAAATATATCATTTACCTTTGAAATTTCTTCAGATGATCTCTCGTTCTCTTTAAACTCCACCAAGTAATTTTCATCAGAATAATTTATAAAGTTCAGATTGTTAGAATTATTATAATTGTTCTTGCTGTTGTTATATGCTTTATAATTTTTACAATTTTTATAATTATTATTATTGTTATTATGCGTTTTATAATTATCATTATCATCAATATTAGCATCATTATGGTGATGATTGCATCCGTAACTTTTTTCTTTTATCTTAGAACTCGAATTTCCAGAAAAACTCTTTTTTTCGTCTTCGATGGCAGCTCCAAATCGAAAAGATTCTGTGGATAACAGCAGCTTTATCGATTTATGATTGCAATGGTTGCCTGTAAAATGGTTTAAAATATGCCCAATATCCTCTGATTCGTAAGGACATGCCGGCCAGGGGCATGGGTGTAAAATTATATCCAAAGAGTTGGTCATTATGTGAGGATCAATCGCAGGAAATAATACTCGCGTTGAATTTTTTGACACTGTCCAGCCAGTATTTCTCAAAGAGTTTGTTGTTGATTTGATTGATTTGATCAAAAAAATAATGGTAAATTTAGTACGTAGTTGTTACTAATATAACGTAGTAGCTCTTTTTTTTTTTTTGTTTTCTGAAACGTTATTGTTATTCTATTCCCTGATTCACAGAATCAAAAAAATATTGTTTCGCATTTTTCTTTTTTCACATTACTACTACGTATTACGTATTATTTCTAACGGCTGCGTATCTTGTTCTTGTCGTTATGCACCCACATCGATTAATTTAGTAACGGTAACAATTATTTAAGCATAATCAGCGTAGAAATCTTCGACATACGTACGTGAATTCTAAAAATACTGATGACGATGCTGCATAGCCGACGCCATAAATATATTCAACTAAAGGTAAAAGATACACGCGCGTATGTATGTGTATGACTTAAGTAAATATCTCCTTCTGTTTCGAAATTAAATGCATTCACCATATTATTATTATTATTGTTTGCCTTTAATATTATGGAATTAATAAGTTCCCACATGCATACGAACGAGCACACTGGTTGGTGTAACTTGTTAATTCATGACATGAAATTACTCGATTTAACCTATATACGTCTTTCGATTTTGATGATTAGCGCGTGTTTATAAAACGTAATGAGAAAAAAAATCATCTTGTTATACTAACTGATTGAATTAAATTTAGAAAGCCGACTTTTGTCTCGGATACAAGAATATAATGTTATCTGTTTATAAATTCTGAAATCAAAAAGCTAAACACAATCATGAAAGAGTCTGATTTCAAACGTGATACACGTAAAAGGTTTTCTGCTTTTTCAGTCAGGTATTATAAAATATTGCAGCGCAAGGGATGTTTTGATTTTCTTGCGAGTATCAAAGAATCACTCAACCGAATGAATAAAACAATTCTTTGTACCGGCTTTATTGAGACAAATACAAAGCTAGCCGATGCTTTATTATTACATTATTACATTACATGTATTAAGAAGAAATGCTTAAATGTTTATGCGCATTAAAATTCATACGCAAAATCTTAGAGGCTTGATGTTCACTTGTTTGACAACCCATATCTGATCAAAAAATAAAAGGAGTAAATAACGGTGAATTAAAAATAAATCAATAAATTAAAAAATCGAATTTTGTAAGTTGATAATGATATCTTTGTCAGAAGGCCATGTCGCAGAAAAGGAGTTTTTAAGGTTTTCGAACGGATTGATAAAAAAATCGAATGAATTATTGAAAGACGAGGGTTTAGCGAAGAAAAAATACATGATTTTCTATTGATGAGTTTCGATCTAAAAGCAATTTATCGTTATTGCTAACTCAACTAAATTAATATGATGAATATTCGTGGCTCGCGTTTCGCGTCCATTGCAGGATTATCTATGTTTGATGCAGTTTAAACTTTAACGATTGATTAAATAATGATATCAAACTGATCTATAGACGGAAGACGCGGAGACGGACAACTGCCTGCATTTTTGTTTACTTAGGACCAATATTCATCTCCTTGGCTCAAAGGAGTGAAACTGACGGTTGTAAGCGCACCCAAAAGTTTTATTGTATACATAACAAGCAAATTATATAACTTTTTAATGATGCATCTAATAGAACGATATTTTCTTTTTAATTTTTAACATCGGTCTAATCAAACTTTCATCCAAATCACGTTTCAAATAAGAATCATTTCATAATAAAATCAAAACAACTAATCGGATTAAATTGAAACTTAAAACAATGGAATGGTGGATCTCATTTTTCAATCGTGGCTTGTCTCTTCATTAATGCCTTTATTGGCAGTATGAAAAGATTCGACGAAATTGACCCTATAAACTTTCATTGATACAATCGGAAAAATGTTCGGGTTTAATATCATAGTGCATGCTTTTAAAGTTTTGCCGCTTTTAAATCAAGTTTAATCAATAAATTTTAACAATAAAATGGGCCAATTATGGATGAAAATCCGGATTATGAGAAATAACGATAGTGTATTTTGCTGTAGGTTAATCTGTTGATTAGAGAATGCATACGTATTACTTTAATTCCGGTTAAATATTTAAAAACTTGTCTAAAGTCCCCGCTAATCCAATAATTAACGTTAACTATCTAGGAAAATTTTTAAGCCGTTGCTTTGATTAAAACCTGAAACTTCGCCTCCAACTAAATAGCTAAGAAAAGATAACATTATATTGTCAATACCATTAAGCCGAAGTGGTCAGAATTTTAAAAAATTTGATTTATCGAGATTTATTTAATAAATTTGGAGGGTTTACTATAACTATTTCAATTTCTTCAGGGTTAATTAATGCTTTGGTTTATCTTATGTTTATTTTTTTTTAAAACATTACACTAACGAATTGCACGGATTCCAACCGACTTTATATTGAATAAATTCGCCTTTGAAGATTCAACGTCTTATATAAGTATCGAATTTTTGTCGAAATTACAGTTTAATTATTGTGTTTGTATATTATAATCATACATTCAGTATTGAGGTTCTGCTGGAAATAAAATAATTTATTAAAGCTCAAAGCAGAAAAATTACTCTATATATTGATTTTAATAAATGCTTTACAGATTGAAATATTTTCTTTATCCAAAAAAAACTGCCAAATCTTAAATAATAATCAATTTAAACAAATGTACTTTCATTTGAAATATAATATATACTTCAGTCAAAATTTTTATATTTTTTTGCCTATTCCAACCTTTTTCTTTATGAATATTGATAAGTTGAATTTTGAAAAGTTTTGTCATGTATTTTTCTTCATCTTTATATAAATATTATTGAATAATTTTCAAATTAATATTGATATTTTATTTTTTATTTTATTATATATTCTGCTAAATTTTAATTTATTACTTATATTTTTTATTATTTTTGAATTCAATAAATTATTGTGAACTTTCTATAGCAAATATATTTAGCTGTAACTTCAAGTTTAAGCTTCAAATATTTGGAGTATGTGTGTATAAAAAAATAATTTTATATTATTTATAAATTGGAATAATATTATTTATATAAATGCATTTACTTATTTCTTTTCCAAGTTTTGATTGGTTAAGAATATTAAAAAATCAGTTTTAGCATTAGAATTAAAGGTTAGAATTAGAACTGGAGGAAAGATTATATGTAAAATTATCTTTCCTATATTTTTTATTAGTGCTTTAAGCCAGGTTTATTCATTCATTTTTCATATTTTTCACATTATTCATCTTTTTAACTTTCTTGTATCAGATTTGTTTTGCTGAGTTGATCAAAAATTTATGTATCTTTATTGATTGATTTAGAAGATTTGGTGTGTATGGTACATAAAATCTAAAGTCATCAAATGTTTGTATTTTACAAAATGTATAAACTTCTTTACTAAGAAGTAAATACAAAATTTAATCCATGAATATGCTCAGAAA